TAGCCAGCTTGGGGTACTGTAGCTAGCTTGGAGTACTGTAGCCAGGTACTGTAGCTAGCTTGGGGTACTGTAGCCAGCTTGAGGCGCTGTGCCCAGGTACTGTAGCTAGCACTAGTTTTGACCATTTCCGATCATTCGAAAGTCAAATTCGAAAGTCGAAAGTCAAATTGAAAAGGCGAAAGCTTTCTAGCCATTAATAGTGCGTACAGGCGGGTGTAGAGCACCGGTGACCTAGTGGGTAGCATGCTGGACTGCCATACTGTCAAGACTTTTCGGTGGGTTCGAGTCTATGGAGAAACTTTTGACTTTTTTGGATTACTGTACTTGATACCTTGCCAGTTTCGGGCTTTCAACTCTGTCGCAACTCTACTTTCTCACTGACTGGATAGCTCTAACACTGCAGCTCTAACACTGCAGCTCTAACACTGCAGCTCTAACACAAGGCTTGTACTTTGTGCTCTTGTAAACGGAATACTCTATGGCACTCATCGAGTTTTACTTTGTTTTACCTTTTACTTTTTGTTTTACTTTTTCTTTTACTTTTCAAAACTACAGGTTTGTTTTTTTTCTTTTAAAAACTCGACAGATTTTCAGAAATTTTTGCTTTTCTTATTTTAGAAATGTAATCCATTAGAAATGTAATCCAAAAAAGAATTAGAATTAAAAAAATCTTTTTGCTTCTTTTTGCTTACGTTTTCTCTTTTCTCATTTTGTTAAAATGTTTTCAACGTTTTTTGCTTTCTATTTTTGTGAGAAATCATGATTTTTTCGATTTCATTTCGTTTTAAATGAAAAGGGAAAGATTTGATGTCAGAGATGTTTCCTATTAGAAATATTGGATGATAAAGAACAGAGTAACGGGCCAGAACCAGAAGCTAGTCAGAACCTGCTCAGAGCCTGCTCAGAGCCTGCTCAGAAGCTAGTCAGAAGCTAGTCAAAACCTAGTCAAAACCTAGTCAAAACCTAGTCAGAAGCTAGTCAAAACCTAGTCAAAACCTAGTCAGAAGCTAGTCAGAAGCTAGTCAGAAGCTAGTCAAACCCTAGTCAAAACCTAGTCAGAAGCTAGTCAAAACCTAGTCAAAACCTAGTCAAAACCTAGTCAAAACCTAGTCAGAAGCTAGTCAAACCCTAGTCAAAACCTAGTCAAAACCTAGGTCTGACTTCTGGTGGATCTACGGGACCAATGAAAGAAAGCTAAAGCTCGATTCTCTCGACTCTCCCAAAAAGCCCAAGCTCAACAAAAAATAAACGATTACCCTGGCAGCTTACTGGCAGTACAGCTTACTATTAGCCTGAAATATAATCGGTTCTTTCCCGACCTCATAGATTACGGTAACGAGATCATTTTCCTTTCGTTTTCCAGAGCGAGTAAGTAATTACTCGAGTAAAATTCACATTTGTAAGATTTAGCAACGTTTTTGGTCAAGAAAAACGACGAGTAATCCTCTTTACACGAGTAATCTCTTTACACGTCGAGTAGACTCAATATCTTTACATTTAAAAGGAATTTGCCACCAAATCAGTTAAATGGTTGAATACCTTTAAAAGGAGTCGTATATAAGGCCACTTATTAAGGCCATGTAGATAGGGCCACGTATATAAGGCCACGTGTATAAGGCCACGTATATAAGGCCCTTATATAAAGCCACGTAGATAAGGCCACGGAGATAAGGCCATGTAGATAAGACCACTTATATAAGGCCATGTAGCTAAGGCCACGGAGATAAGGCCATGTAGATAAGGCCACTTATATAAGGCCACTTATATAAGGCCACTTATATAAGGCCACTTATATAAGGCCACTTAGATAAGGCCACTTATATAAGGCCACGTAGCTAAGGCCACGGAGATAAGGCCATGTAGCTAAGGCCACGGAGATAAGGCCATGTAGATAAGGCCACTTATACAAGGCCACGTAGCTAAGGCCACGGAGATAAGGCCATGTAGCTAAGGCCACGGAGATAAGGCCATGTAGATAAGGCCACTTATATAAGGCCACTTATATAAGGCCACTTATATAAGGCCACTTATATAAGGCCACTTAGATAAGGCCACTTAGATAAGGCCACGTATATAAGGCCATGCGTAGCAGATTTGCCTGAGAATTCAAGGAATAGTGGTTGCGAGTGGCAGTGGGCTAGAAAACAAGGCGAAGACAGGGAACGTTGGGCTCTAGTTCGAGTCCGCTTCGAATTTTTCCTCGATTTGTAAAGTTAATTGCTTTAAAAGGAGTCGCAAGAGCGTTAAAAGCTTTAAAAGGAGCGTATATAGGCGACGCGTATATAAGGCGAGCTTTGTCCAGAAGCGCCCAATCAATTTACACCCAAAGGAGAACGCTAACTCAAAGTAACTGTTTCTGTTTACTGACACAGAATACTGTAGTAAAAAAAACCCGCTTCTAGGCTTCTTAAAGAAGCCTGTAATGCTTGCTGTGCCATTTTTATCGTTTATTTAAATTACATTTAGTTCTTTAAAGTGTTTTTATCGTTTCTAGTTCAACACTAGACAATTCTGAAGTTTCAATTTCATTTTACGAATCAATCATCAATGAAATATGAAGAAAATGTTATGTATTTCGTCTTTTTTAGAGATTTTAAGCCAAAAATCTGGATTAAAATCATCAAAAATATCTGAATTATTAGTTTTAGACATTATGTGTGGAAAGTGAAATAAAAATCTTCTGTGACATCCAGAACGGTAAAAAATTTGAGTGGCTTGCAAAAATTGTCAATCGATTGGTCTAAAATATCGACTTCTCTATCCGGTTCTCCACCGATCTTTCCTAAATGTTCGAAAGTTCAAAAATTCTATGCCTCAAATCTTCTGTGACATCCAGAACAGCGAAATATTTGAGTGGCTTGCAAAAATTTTCAATCGAGGGCTCTAAAATATAGACTTCTCTTTCCGGTTCTCCACTGATTTTTCCTAAATGTTCGAAAGTTCAAAAATTCTATGCCTCAAATCTTCTGTGACATCCATAACGGTAAAAAATTTGAGTGGCTTGCAAAAATTGTCAATCGAGGGCTCTAAAATATAGACTTCTCTTTCCGGTGCTCGACCGATTTTTTAAAATCCCTCTAACCACCCATTTTACCCATTGTTTTGTGCATCCTGACATCCAGTTCGACTGAATTCATGAAAATTACTGTACTAGTCCTACTGTAGTCTATAATATGCCTATCCACTCTTGGTATCGATTTTCGACCGATTCGAAATCCCTCAAACCAGTCATTTTACTTACTTCTTTGTGCATGCTGATATCCAGTTCGACCAAATTCATGAAAATTACTGTACTAGTCCTACTCTCTTCTTACATTTCTTCTTACAGTTCTTTAAAGTGTTTCTATCGTTTCTAGTTCAGCACTAGACAATTCTGAAGTTTCAATTTCATTTTACGAATCAATCATCAATGAAATATGAAGAAAATGTTATGTATTTCGTTTTTTTGTAGAGATTTTAAGCCAAAAATCTGGATTAAAATCATCAAAAATATCTGAATTATTAGTTTTTTGGAATCATGAGTGAAAAATAAAATAAAAATTTCGGATTTAAGTGAAATTTAAGTCAAATTTCATTTCTTCAAGTGCCTCGACAAACAAATGAAAAAAAGATTTACAAATTACAAAGATTTCTTTTTTAAAGCCGAATTTTCAGGATTTACTTGAGGAAAATGGAAAATAAATAAAAAAAATGAAAAAAATGGAAAATAAATGGGAAATTTTGAATGTAAAAGCTCATGAAAATTTAGGGATTTGTTTAAAAAGTGGTTTTTTTTGAAAATTTGATTGTTTTTTTGTGCTTTCACAAATCGGAAATGCATCTTTTCTGATTTGTGAAAGCACACTGACCTCTGTGCACTGAGCTCTTCATTGAAACCGCCGGTTTTTCCCTAATATTTCCTAAGTGCTTGAAAGTTCAAAAATTCTATGCCCCAAATCTTCTGTGACATCCAGAACGGTAAAAAATTTGAGTGGCTTGCAAAAATTGTCAATCGATTGGTCTAAAAGATAGACTTCTCTATCCGGTTCTCCACCGATCTTTCCTAAGTGCTCGAAAGTTCAAAAATTCTATGCCCCAAATCTTCTGTGACATCCAGAACGGCGAAATATTTGAGTGGCTTGCAAAAATTTTCAATTGGGGGCTCTAAAATATCGACTTCTCTTTCCGGTACTCGACCGATCTTTCCTAAGTGCTCGAAAGTTCAAAAATTCTATGCCTCAAATCTTCTGTGACATCCAGAACAGCGAAATATTTGAGTGGCTTGCAAAAATTTTCAATTGAGGGCTCTAAAATATCGACTTCTCTTTCCGGTACTCGACCGATTTTTCAAAATCCCTCTAACCACCCATTTTACCCATTGTTTTGTGCATCCTGACATCCAGTTCGACCGAATTCACGAAAATTACTGTACTAGTCCTACTGTAGTCTATAATATGCCTGCCCGCCCTTAGTATCGATTCTCGACCGATTCGAAATCCCTCAAACCAGCCATTTTACTTACTTCTTTGTGCATGCTGATATCCAGTTCGACCGAATTCATGAAAATTACTGTACTAGTCCTACTGTCTTCTTACATTTAGTTATTGAAAGTGTTTTTATCGTTTCTAGTTCAACACTAGAAAATTTTCAATTGCAATTTCATTTTACGAAACAATCATCAATAAACTATCAAGAAACTGTTAAGCATTTCGATTTTTGAGTGTTCTGAAAGATCTGAACGATCTTTCAGATCGTTCAGATCTTTCAATCGCTATGATTTCTTTTCGAATTTGTAATCAAGATTGTGAAATAGATTTTCCAAACGAATTTCCCCCTATTTTAGGTCATTATTTTATATTTGTAACCAGAATTGTGATCAAATAAAAGGATTTTCCTTTTTGAGGTCATCATTTCGAAGTTTCTATTTTAAATCACTGCCATTTCGTTTTTTATTTTCAATATTTGAAAAAAAATCGAATCATTTTTCAAGAGAAAATTCTAGGAAACCAAATTTGACAAACCTTTCCAAAGAAGAGCGCAATGAAACTGTCGTAAACCACATAGGCATTGCCCATACCCATTACAGTACCTAAAAAGAGATTGATGATACTAGTTGAAATGGCTTCACGCTTCACTAGCTTCACTAGACCCAAGAATGGTAGGGGAAAAGGTTTTCGAAAGGATCATAGGGAAAAGATCGACTAAACTATGATCAGACTCATCACTCTAAAGCTACAATATGAAAAGTGAGTCAGTAAAGAAGCTAAATAGGGTTAGACTTAGCTAAGTAGAGCTAGATAGAGCTAGAGAAGAGCTAGATAGAGCTAGATAGAGCTAGATAGAGCTAGATAGAGCTAGATAGAGCTAGATAGAGCTTGATAGAGCTAGATAGAGCTTGATAGAGCTAGATAGAGCTAGAGAAGAGCTAGAGAAGAGCTAGATAGAGCTAGATAGAGCTAGATAGAGCTAGATAGAGCTAGATAGAGCTAGATAGAGCTAGATAGAGCTTGATAGAGCTAGATAGAGCTAGAGAAGAGCTAGAGAAGAGCTAGATAGAGCTAGATAGAGCTAGATAGAGCTAGATAGAGCTAGATAGAGCTAGATAGAGCTAGATAGAGCTTGATAGAGCTTGATAGAGCTAGATAGAGCCAAGTCTAGCTCTATTTAACTTCTTTACTCTTCATAGACACTTTAAAATACCCTAAACATGAAGCTCAGTGGTTTAAAAAGAAGTAAAAAAAAATCTCGACAGCGAGAGGATTCGAACCAGAGATCGACGGCACTAGTTGACTTGTGTTTCGGTTGAACCGGAAACGTTCTTTTTCGGTTCGGTTTCGGTTTCGGTTTCGGTTAACCGAACCGAACCGAAAAAAAATATTTTTCGGTTGAACCGAAACCGAACCGAACCGAACCGAAAAACTCATCTTTTCGGTTCAACCAAACCGAACCGAACCGAAGATTTCGGTTGACTTCGGTTGAACCGAAACCGAAACTGAACCGAAAAGAGCCAACCGAAACACAAGTCTAGGCACTAGGCTCGAGACCACTATCCACTACACCATTCGGAAACTGATTGGATGGGGGAAAAAAGCGTCATATCATGACGGTGTCGTTTTTTCAAAAATGTTTTTATCAGGAACTTTTGAAATTTTTAGTAACGATTCTCACCAACAACAAATTATCGTTTCCAGGAAAACTTTTTATGCTAAACGCGTATGCCAGATGGAAAGCGTTTACGCGGCCGTACAAAGAACACCTCTTTACAAAGAGATTTCTCTTTCGTTGATGGTCTGAAGATATAAATTTGTTCCCCAAGGATTTTCAGGGTCGGGCAGTCGGAGTCATTCATTTTTGAAGCCACTAGAGCCAGCCACTAGAGCCAGCCACTAGAGCCAGCCACTAGAGCCAGCCACTAGAGCCAGCCACTAGAGCCAGCCACTAGAGCCAGCCACTAGAGCTAGCCACTAGAGCTAGCCACTAGAGCTAGCCACTAGAGCTAGCCACTAGAGCTAGCTACTAGAGCCAGCCACTAGAGCCAGCTACTAGAGCTAGCTACTAGAGCTAGAGCAGACTCACCAATAAAAATGATGCTCATATTCTCGAGAACTTCTCTTCCCAATGGATACCGTAAAACGTCTGTGTTCATGATGAGATGTGTCGCGTACCAAACGGCCAAACCACTGTAATCTTTCAGTAATCATTAATAAATAACAGATTTGCAGATTTGTAAAGACTTTAAGCGCAGCTAATCGCTTCTTAAAAAAATCTAAAAAAGAAAAAAGCTAAGGGATCGATGTGAGGGATTCGAACCATTGATCGTTGGCCTTTTGGGTAAGAACACTAACTACTCAGCCAAACCTGTAGCCTGCACCGCTCACTGAGAACTTCTTATAATGATTCAAAGCAAAAATCGGATTTCACTGGGGACCGGAGTACCTCTTTAACGATTTCTACAATATCCAGCAAAAGTATTCAGCGAAGAAACCTGAATATCTTAATAATACGAATATTAAAAGATATTCAGCCAACAAACAGAATATCTTTCAATTCGTTCAACGAAAACAAAAGATATTCAGTCTATTTCAAAAGATATTCAATCTACTAACCCAAGAAAATCCTTTTACTTCAATTGAAAGCTTTTTATTGTACTTTGCTCATACAAGAAAGAATATTCAGAGCGCCAGAAGGGGGTGTTTACAAAGTTTAAACACAAAGTACATCACAAAGCTGTGTTTCCAATCTTTCCAATCTTTCCAATGCTTTCTTCCCTACTCTATCCCATTTTTTTCAAAACCATTTCCAACACTGAACTTTATATTATTTCCTCGAGATTCAAGCGTAAAATCAGAAAGCTTAGAGGCACGTATCCCTCTCAAAATCGCGATAAAGCCATCACGGAGCCATTTTTTTTTGCAATTTTCAAAAAATTTGATTTCTTATCTTCTAGTGGCACTGATTTTTTGATTCTGAAAAGAAAAACAGATTTTTGAGGTTAAAATAGAAAAATGGTCATTGGTGAAAAAGAAATGAGAAATTATGAGAATTGAGTCCACTAAAAAGAACCTTTCTACCTGTTTTTACCTGTTTTTTGTCGAATAGATGTAAGGAAATAGCTTGGAAACGTGTTCACCTTATTAACTTTTCTTTGAGTAGGCAGATTTTGATGAAACTTTGAATTTTTCTTAGTTGGATAGCATGCAAAAATTGGGATTGATCAGGTTTTGAATTTTTAGAAAATAGATTTTTGGATTGTTGTACTGACGTCAAAGATTGGGCGCTTTTTTAGATCCAGATTGGAGATTTTAAGATCCTTTTTGGAAAATTCGGCGATCTGGGAGGCAACTTAAAGTTCTAAGTAGTTTACTCGATGCATTACGGTAAATGGGGTACTGTAGAGGGACTACGTTAAAGATTGGGCGCTTTTTTCGATGCAGAAAGAAGGTTTTAGAATAATTTTTTGAAAATTAAGCGATCTGGAAGGCAACTTAGAGTTCTAGCTGGTTTACCAGGCGCATTACGGTAAATCGGGTACAATAGGTGGCTGACGTTAAAGATTGGGCACTTTTTTAGATGTAGCTTTGAAGCTAAAGAGATGTTTTTTTGAAAACTAGGAGATCTGGGAGGCAACTTAGAGTTCTAGATAAGGCATAAGGCCCTATTTTGGCGGCAATGCGATACGTGTCGCTCATTGGTAGAGCGTTCGCCTAGCGGGAGGTCGGTAAACGAGGGGGCTTGTGGGTTCGAGTCCCGGCGCCGATCGTTTTTGTATTCCCAGCCTCAGAAAGGACCTCAAATCTATATAGATTTCAATATTAAAGCCACCTTTACTCACCTCGTAATATCGACGACAGAATCCAAAAGTGTCGCGATGATCGACAATGATGTTCCTTGGGTTAAATACGCGGAGAAACTCTTGCCGATTAGCAAAATGAGATTCGAGACGAGAACGAGTTGAGAAAGGAGATTGTCGCCTTTTGTCTGTACAGAAAGATTACAGAAATAAGAAACTATCTCTAAAACAGTTACAATTTGGAATTTTTAAAGAATTTTCAATATCCCGAGCAAAGCCAGCTACATATTAATGAAAAAAGACAGTGTTAACGACAAGAAACTAATGCCAAATTTGGGTAATTACATAGTTTCCTTTCCATCTGAGCAATTTACAATTTACTTATGGTTCTTCTCGGAAATCCTGGTTTCTTACATTTATTTACACGAATAATGTGGTGCAAACAATACAAAACAATACAAACAACAATACAAAAGCACAACCGTTAAGCCCTGGAAAAGAAAAAAACCCTATATATGAGAAAAATGAGGCAAGAAGGTCCCCGGCGGGATCGAACCCTCGACCTCGTCCTCGAACTTCCGACTGAGAAACAGGGCTCTTAGCCAGTCGGCCATGGAGGCTATGGGAGTCCCTGCAAAAAAAAACGGGTCTCATTCGCTCACCACTGCTTTTTCTTTAAAGACAAACGGAAGCCATGTATGCCAGATCGCGAGCGATTACGGGTCCGTACCAAGAACGCACAGAAGCCGAAGGAAGGCCATGTATGCCAGGTCGCGAACGGTTACGGGGCCGCACAAAGAACGCACAAAGAACGCACAAAGAACGCATGATTTTGCTTTTCTTTTTAAAATGTTTCCCAAATGAGATTTAGTGCTGAAAATTTGTACCCAGGGGTTTTCAAGGTCGCGGAATCGATTGGCGGGGTTTATTTTAACCATTTGTCCCAAGAAAAGTCCCAATTTGCGAATTTGCGATCGAATTTGCTTTGGTTTTGCCCGGTTTTCCGAGAAGAGAGAAAACCCGGTTTTCCGAGAAGGCTTCCTCACTCACCGTATCCTTTGGCTCAGCAACAATGCCTCCATTCCGAATGCACTCATCATCTTTCGCGTATTTCTCGAGCAACTCTTTTTGATGGCTGAAATGAGCGAAAAATCGGATAAAATGCTTGGATTAAGGTAGAGAAATAGGTAATAAAGAAAGTTTGAGTAAATAAAAACCACCAACTCATAATATTGTCGAACAGCCGTCGGATATTTCGATGTGTTTTCCGGGAATTTTTTTCCCGAATTTTCATCTCTCACTTTTAAAGTTTTTTGGGTGTTTTTTCTGTGTTTCGATGTCATTTTGAAAGATTTGAAACGAAGGAAAATCGAAGGGAAACGGAAGGGAAGCGGAAAGGAATGAAAGGAAAATGGAAAGGAAATGAAAAAGAATCAGAAATGCAAACTGATAAGTATTTGAAATTTTCGAAAAAAAAAAATTGAGATTGGGAAAAAATCGCACGAGACTTTCGTGGGTTTTCTTTTGAGGAAATGAGAAAACAAAAATTATTCACAAAAAAGGCACACTTGTAACAGGGATTTATTGCCAGAATTGAGAGCAAAAATTTGAGCACATTGAGCACAGCGGCATTCGAATCTGCGACCTCTCGCTTACCGGCCGAACGCTTTACCAATGAGCTACACTGACACGTATCAGGATAGGATAGGCCAGGATAGGCCAGGCCTTTGCCACCAGGATAGGCCAGGCCTATGCCACCAGGATAGGCCTTTCTGCCTTACCTAAAACTCTAAGTTGCCTCCCAGATCGCCTAATTTCCAAAAAACTATCTTAAAATCTTCAATCTGCATCGAAAAAAGCACCCAATCTTTAACGTCAGTCCCCCTACACTACCCCATTTACCGTAATCCGCCGAATAGCTTTAAGTTGTTGCTTAGAACTTTAAGTTGCCTCCCAGATCGCTCAATTTTCTAAAGATCATCGAAAAATCTACAATCTGGATCGAAAAAAGCGCCCAACCTTTAACGACAGTCCCTCTACAGTACCCCATTTACCGTAATGCGCCTGGTAAACCAGCTAGAACTCTAAGTTGTCTTCCAGATCGCTTAATTTTCAAAAAATCATCCCTTTAGCCTCAAAGCTACATCTAAAAAAGCCCCCAATCTTTAATGTCAGTCCCCCCTACAGTACCCCATTTACCGTAATCCACCGAATCACTTTAAGTTGTTGCTTAGAACTCTAAGTTGCCTTCCAGATCACCGAATTTTCAAAAAATTATCATAAAATCTTCAATCTGGATCGAAAAAAGCGCCCAACCTTTACCGACAGTCCCTCTACAGTACCCTATTTACCGTAATGCGCCTGGTAAACCAGCTAGAACTCTAAGTTGCCTTCCAGGTCGCCGAGTTTTCCAAAAATTATTCTAAAACCTTCTTTCTGCATCGAAAAAAGCGCCCAATCTTTAAGGTAGTCCCTCTACAGTACCCCATTTACCGTAATGCATCGAGTAAACTACTTAGAACTTATGCCTTATGCCTTACCTAGAACTTTAAGTTGCCTCCCAGATCTCCTAATTTTCAAAAAATCATCTCTTTAGCTTCAAATCTACATCTAAAAAAGCGCCCAATCTTTAACGTCAGCCACCTACTGTGCCCGATTTACCGTAATCCACCGAATAACTTCAAGTTGTTGCTTAGAACTCTAAGTTGCCTTCCAGATCGCCGAATTTTCCAAAAATTATCTTAAAATCTCCAATCTGGATCTAAAAAAGCGCCCAATCTTTGACGTCAGTAGAAGAATCCAAAAATCTATTTTCTAAAAATTCAAAATCTGATCAATCCCAATTTTTGCATGCTATCCAACTAAGAAAAATTCAAAGTTTCATCAAAATCTGCCTACTCAAAGAAAAGTTAATAAGGTGAACACGTTTCCAAGCTATTTCCTTACATCTATTCGACAAAAAACAGGTAAAAACAGGTAGAAAGGTTCTTTTTAGTGAACTCGATTCTCATAATTTCTCATTTCTTTTTCACCAATGACCATTTTTCTATTTTAACCTCAAAAATCTGTTTTTCTTTTCAGAATCAAAAAATCAGTGCCACTAGAAGATAAGAAATCAAATTTTTTGAAAATTGCAAAAAAAATGACTCCGTGATGGCTTTATCGCGATTTTGAGAGGGATACGTGCCTCTAAGCTTTCTGATTTTACGCTTGAATCTCGAGGAAATAATATAAAGTTCAGTGTTGGAAATGGTTTTGAAAAAAATGGGATAGAGTAGGGAAGAAAGCATTGGAAAGATTGGAAAGATTGGAAACACAGCTTTGTGATGTACTTTGTGTTTAAACTTTGTAAACGCCCCCTTCTGGCACTCTGAATATTCTTTCTTGTAGGAGCAAAGTACAATAAAAAGCTTTCAATTGAAGTAAAAGGATTTTCTTGGGTTAGTAGATTGAATATCTTTTGAAATAGACTGAATATCTTTTGAAATACAGGGTGCGGCAAAAGTTCGGAGCCGCTTCTTAAGATAGTTAAAGGTTTAAAAACTAGCTTTAAAAAGTTAAAAATTAATAACGAACTCTTTATTCGAATCATAACAACAAATAACTTATAAAAAATGCTCGAAATTTCCACCATCCGCTTCGATACACCTCTTTAAACGCTTTGGGAAGGTGGTGGCGATGGTGGCTCACGATGGTGGCGCACGCTTAAACAGTTATTTCATCCCAGACTCGTTTCAGAGCAGATTTTAAAGCATCCACTGTTTGATACGTCCTCATCAGGATCTTGCCTTCCAAAATAGCCCAAACGGTGTAATCGAGGGGATTAAGATCTGGCGAATTTGAAGGCCAAATAGTCTTATCCGAAAAGCCTGGAAACAACTGAGCGCAAACGTTGAGAGTTGAGTGAGCACCATGCGCCGGAGCCCAGTCTAAAAACCAGCTTGTCCAAAGTGATTTGTTGCCCAATGTTTCAAGACAACTTTTAATACCAGTTGTTGGCAGTTTCTAGCATTCATCTTGACTTTTCTGTCCAAAAAAAACAGGCGGTGTCTTGCTTGTAGCACACATACCTCCACACATCAGAATCGAAGCTGAAAAATGCTTTCTAACCATCAAATTTGCCGCAAATGTGTTCTTCAGACCCCTTTTGAGAAGTTATCTATGATTTTGGCGGTTGTGCAATGACTGGATAGAAAAAATCTTTTCATCTGTGAAGAGGATCCTCTCTCAAGTAGGCCTCTCAAGTAAGCCAGTCGCCACCAAGCGCACCATCTTCTTTGCTAGAAGCTTTCGTTTCTTCTGGGATTTGTCGCTCAAGACGTGTGCTTTAGCCAATTTGTAGCTAAAGAATCTTAGTTTCCCTTTAACAATCCTTCCAACGCTTTGAGGGCTAATTTTCAGCTGTTTGCCCATCTTTCGCATCGACCGCAGCTTGTTTTGGCGGATTTCGTTGATGTTCGTAGGTGTTACGGCAGTTGGTGGTCGACCACTTCGAGTTGTTGTTCTTGTTGTTCTTGTTGTTCTTGTTGTTCTTGTTGTTCTTTATCTCCTTGTAGCGTTTAATTGCTTTGTTGACGGTGCTTTTTGGATATTTCGTGATTTTTCCGCCTTCGTATAATCCGAGAATCATATCGCGTCGTTTTTTGGCGTTCATTCTTACGAATTTTCTCCTAAAAAGAAGAAAATTTTTGTAACAAATCACCTTGATTATACTCGAAAAAGGGGAAAAAAGTATACGAGACACAAAAAAAAAAGCGCGAGCTAAATTTTCTGCAATGTTTTCATAGCGGCTCCGAACTTTTGCCGCACCCTGTAGACTGAATATCTTTTGTTTTCGTTGAACGAATTGAAAGATATTCTGTTTGTTGGCTGAATATCTTTTAATATTCGTATTATTAAGATATTCAGGTTTCTTCGCTGAATACTTTTGCTGGATATTGTAGAAATCGTTAAAGAGGTGCTCCGGTCCCCAGTGAAATCCGATTTTTGCTTTGAATCATTATAAGAAGTTCTCAGTGAGCGGCGCAGGCTACAGGTTTGGCCAAGTGGTTAGTATTCTTAACTGAAAGGCCAGCCATCAAGGGTTCGAATCCCTCAAGTTGATTTCGCTTCCACTTTTTCCTATTCAATTTTTTTTTCGGTTTCTTTTTCGGTTCCCTACTCGATTCCTATCCGATTCCCTATTCAATTCCCTATTCAATTCCCTATTCGACTCCCCATTCGACTCCCTATTCGATTCCCTATTCGATTCCCTATTCAATTCCCTATTCAATTCCCTATTCGACTCCCCATTCGATTCCCTATTCGATTCCCTATTCAACTCCCTATTCAACTCCCCATTCGATTCCCTATTCAACTCCCTATTCGATTCCCTATTCAACTCCCCATTCGATTCCCTATTCAACTCCCTATTCGATTCCCTATTCAATTCCCTATTCGACTCCCCATTCGACTCCCCATTCGACTCCCCATTCGATTCCTATTCGATTCCCTATTCGATTCCCTATTCAACTCCCTATTCAATTCCCTATTCGACTCCCCATTCGACTCCCCATTCGATTCCTATTCGATTCCCTATTCGATTCCCTATTCAACTCCCTATTCGACTCCCCATTCGATTCCTATTCGATTCCCTATTCGATTCCCTATTCAACTCCCTATTCGATTCCCTATTCAATTCCCTATTCGACTCCCCATTCGACTCCCATTCGATTCCTATTCGATTCCCTATTCGATTCCCTATTCAACTCCCTATTCGATTCCCTATTCAATTCCCTATTCGACTCCCCATTCGACTCCCCATTCGATTCCTATTCGATTCCCTATTCGATTCCCTATTCAACTCCCTATTCGATTCCCTATTCAATTCCCTATTCGACTCCCCATTCGACTCCCCATTCGATTCCTATTCGATTCCCTATTCGATTCCCTATTCAACTCCCTATTCGATTCCCTATTCAATTCCCTATTCGACTCCCCATTCGACTCCCCATTCGATTCCTATTCGATTCCCTATTCGATTCCCTATTCAACTCCCTATTCAATTCCCTATTCGACTCCCCATTCGACTCCCCATTCGATTCCTATTCGATTCCCTATTCGATTCCCTATTCAACTCCCTATTCGATTCCCTATTCAATTCCCTATTCGACTCCCCATTCGACTCCCCATTCGATTCCTATTCAATTCCCTATTCGATTCCTATTCGATTCCCTATTCGATTCCCTATTCGATTCCCTATCATAAAAGCTTTTGAATGATATTATTTCTAGACAAAGTTATGGACGTTTAAAGCACGGCGTCTCATTCAGAGTACCCAGTCTTCGGCCTTTTGGTTCGTCTC